TCTCGAGAAAAGCAGTTCAGAAACACCCCGCCCGTGGCGCTCGGCGCAATGACGTCACAAAGGCGCGCGATGACGCCTCTGCAATGACTGGTGACGCCATCGTTTAATGTTCGGTGGGGGGGGGGGTTTGGTAGGGATGGCCGCCATCTTAGTACGGGCGAGTTAACAAACGAGGGGTTGGTGGAGGTATGGGGGGCACAGCCGGTGGTGCCTCTACCGGTCATCTCAGCCAACCCATGGCACCTAGCCTGGTATAGCTGGTGGTGCATCTACCGGTCATCTCAGCCAACCCATGGCACCTCGCCTGGTACAGCTGGTGGTGCATCTACCGGTCATCTCAGCCAACCCATAGCACCTGGCCTGGTACAGCTGGTGGTGCATCTACCGGTCATCTCGGCCAACCTATGGCACCTGGTCTGGTACAGCTGGTAGTGCATCTACCGGTCATCTCAGCCAACCCATAGCACCTAGCCTGGTACAGCTGGTGGTGCATCTACCGGTCATCTCAGCCAACCCATTGGCACCTGGCATGGTACAGCTGGTGGTGCATCTACAGGTCATCTCAGCCAAACCCATGGCACCTAGCCTGGTAGAGCTGGTGGTGCATCTACCGGTCATCTCAGCCAACCCATAGCACCTGGCCTGGTACAGCTGGTGGTGCATCTACCGGTCATCTCAGCCAACCCATAGCACCTAGCCTGGTATAGCTGGTGGTGCATCTACCGGTCATCTCAGCCAACCCATAGCACCTAGCCTGGTATAGCTGGTGGTGCATCTACCGGTCATCTCGGCCAACCCGTGGCACCTGGGTCTGTCCCGAGACCTGCACCCAGCCTGGTACAGCTGGTGGTGCATCTACCGGTCATCTCGGCCAACCCATGGCACCTGTGTCTGTCCCGAGACCTGCACCCAGCCTGGTACAGCTGGTGGTGCATCTACCGGTCATCTCAGCCAACCCATGGCACCTGTGTCTGTCCCGAGACCTGCACCTAGCCTGGTACAGCTGGTGGTGCATCTACCAGCCAGCCAACCCATGGCAACTGCTGGCTCTGTCCCGAGCCCTGCCAGCAGCGAGCCTTCGACACTTCACGTGGCAGCCTCAAAGTGCACGTGGCCTGGCACAGGCGCGGTGGCGACGTCACCGAATGGTGTTTGGGGGGCGGGCGACGCGGGCGATGACGTCACAAGCGCTCCGTTTTTGTTCCCCAACGTCACCCGATGGGATCGCTCTCCCTCTACGTCACGTGGCCCCCACCCACCATCCCCACCCACTCACCCCACCCACCACCACCACCCAGCCAGCCAGCCCCACTCCCTCGCAAGCAGATGGAGGAGGCCAAAGGCACGCGGTGGGGAGTGGTGGCGCAGCGGTTAGCGCGCCCCATGGTTCGATTCCCGCTCACGGCCACCGCGACAAGGAGGCGGTGACGGATTTTCCGGTACCCGGTTCCCGGGCACTCCGCCTTTAGGTCGACTCGGCCTCAAAAGAGTAAACCTGCAGGTGTAGCGGCGTGCGGTAAACGTCGCCACTGGGGGAGACAAAGGCGGCCGGGAGGTGGGTTGCTGGCCAACCCACCCCACGTGTGCGACAGTTGCCGGCCTTCGTAGGTGCTGCTGCTGCTCGCTCGCAGCCACTTGCCCCTACAGTCTGTGAAGGCTACACGGGGGACCTTTGTCAACTAAACCCCCACCCGCCCCGCTGGGCAAGGATCGATTCCTTTAACGACCCCACGTGATTCACCGCGTGGAGTCGTTCGGCGATAAAAACAAAGCCGGAATCGATTCGTTTTCGATCCGTGGACAAATATTTGTTGAATGTGTGGTGAGGTTTATACATCTAAATACTTGGAGGTAACGATTTAGCAACACAGTCTTAACTATTTATTTTAGCAGGTACAAAGTTCCCACTGAGGCGACGTCGCTCTTTTTCTTTCTTACGGGGAAGCGACCTGTCCGTCACGAATTATGATAACGACAACCAAGTGGACTTAAAGCCATGGACATTGTATGGCAGGGGCCAAATTAACTCTTTGTTTTTGTTTATTATTACACGCTTTTTTTATTAACTCACTGTCTGTTTAGATTGAAAGCTTTCGTGACTGCAGGGATTCATATTATTGGTCCTCTCGGTAAAGTCACCACGTAGAAGGGAAACAATAAAATAATAAAAATATGACGATTTGCTTGTGTTGCAGTCGAAACGTCGGGCGAATTTTATTCATTTATATTTTTATTATTTTGTCGTTTCCTTTCTACGTGGTGACTTTAGAACCAAGAAATATGAATCACTGTCTTGTATCCTCAAATCTTGTAACTCAATTTTACCCCACCTCCCAATGTATCGAATGCTAACTTGGCATACTTATGTCATAGTGATGACAATTACTCTATTCTAGCAAAAAACAAATATTTGTAAACATTCTTTTATATGTTCTTGGTTCTGTCGGTAAAGTTACCACGTAGAAGGGAAACAATAACATAATAAAAATATAAAACAATAAAATTCTCACGACGTTTCGACTGCAACACAAGCAATCATCATCAGGTGAGAATTGTATTGTTTTATATATTTTTTTATTATTTTATTGTTTCCCTTCTACGTGGTGACTTTACCGAAAGAACCAAGAATATAAATCCCTGCAGTCACGAAAGCTTTAAATCAAAATGTATTTTATGTTATGTTTCGGCTTTGGTTTAATTGTCCACTGCTCAAGTCACGTTGGCTGTAAATCATCACGGTCCCCTTACGTCGTGGCAAGCTTCGGGCACACTTCCTGGAGTAGGGGAGTTCTGACATTACTAGTACGGTACGTTTCATTAAAGCGTGTTTTTTTTTAAAATACTGTACTGTATTACTTATTTTTAGACGGCGTGATGTTGATTCTAAACGTTGTGGGGTGTGGGGGAAACACGCGACCAACACGGTGAGAGAGAGAGAGAGCGAGACGCCGCAAATTCCATTATTACAGACCGACTCAGACCTTATTGATCACACCCCGTGCCCCTTATGAATCTCAACGTTCACCCTACAAAGTCCCATCACAAGGGAGAAACACAAAATAGATACAAAAACAAATTTGGGCCCTGAAATTTCCCTGTCCAAGGATACGGGGCTAAACCATATGGGTTGACAGCTGCGCCAACTTCTAAATATACAGCAGCAGCAGGCATCGTAAGGGTCGGGAAAAAAAATCGACCTCCTGTACACCAGGCGAGGTAGTCAACATCTCCTAGCTACAGTGGTGATGATGATGATGAGAGAGAGAGACAGACGCAAACTTCTAAATACACAGCAGCAGGCATCGTCAGGGTCGAGATCGAACCCACGACCTCCTGTACACCAGGCGAGGTAGTCAACATTTCCTAGCCACAGTGGTGATGATGATGATGAGAGAGACAGACGCAAACTTCTAAATACACAGCAGCAGCAGCAGGCATCGTCAGGGTCGAGATCGAACCCACGACCTCCTGTACACCAGGCGAGGTAGTCAACATCTCCTAGCTACAGTGGTGATGATGATGAGAGAGACAGACGCAAACTTCTAAATACACAGCAGCAGCAGCAGGCATCGTCAGGGTCGAGATCGAACCCACGACCTCCTGTACACCAGGCGAGGTAGTCAACATCTCCTAGCTACAGTGGTGATGATGATGATAGAGACAGACGCAAACTTCTAAATACACAGCAGCAGCAGCAGGCATCGTCAGGGTCGGGATCAAACCCACGACACCTCCTGTACACCAGGCGAGGTAGTCAACATCTCCTAGCCACAGTGGTGATGATGAGAGAGAGAGACGCAAACTTCTAAATACACAGCAGCAGCAGGCACCGTCAGGGTCGAGATCGAACCCACGACACCTCCTGTACACCAGGCGAGGTAGTCAACATTTCCTAGCCACAGTGGTGATGATGATGAGAGAGAGAGACGCAAACTTCTAAATACACAGCAGCAGGCATCGTCAGGGTCGAGATCGAACCCACGACCTCCTGTACACCAGGCGAGGTAGTCAACATCTCCTAGCTACAGTGGTGATGATGATGAGAGAGACAGACGCAAACTTATAAATACACAGCAGCAGCAGGCATCGTCAGGGTCGAGATCGAACCCACGACCTCCTGTACACCAGGCGAGGTAGTCAACATCACCTAGCTACAGTGGTGATGATGATGATAGAGACAGACGCAAACTTCTAAATACACAGCAGCAGCAGCAGGCATCGTCAGGGTCGGGATCAAACCCACGACACCTCCTGTACACCAGGCGAGGTAGCCACAGTGGTGATGATGAGAGAGAGAGACGCAAACTTCTAAATACACAGCAGCAGCAGCAGGCACCGTCAGGGTCGAGATCGAACCCACGACACCTCCTGTACACCAGGCGAGGTAGTCAACATCTCCTAGCTACAGTGGTGATGATGATGAGAGAGAGACAGACGCAAACTTCTAAATACACAGCAGCAGCAGTAGGCATCGTCAGGGTCGGGATCGAACCCGCGTTCTACTTAATAGACTTTTTAATAAATGTTTTCTCCTACAACATCAGAGTGCAGCGGCACTACAGTGACAATAGTTTAAAGCGATTTGAAGGTGTTTTATATATTTTTGGGGGGGGTGGGGGGCAGAGCTTTGTGACGTCATATTTGAGGGGTCTGACTTTTTGTGACGCCGTGTGACGAGGGGGGGGGGTGTCAAAAATCGTCAAAAATCGCGTGACGTCATTTATGGACGGCCCCCTACCATCTCGCCACTACAGCACGTGACTACGGTCAACCAGGTGAGGATGGAGGATAGAGAAGGTGCCGCGTGTTGTGATGTTCATGTGTTTTCAACGCAATGTGCGGCACGCACGCGCCGATCGGAATACATTTATCCCGGAAAAAATCCGATAAGCTACGGAGCTATTTCCCCCCCCCCCCCCCACAGATGTCCAGGGGCGGCTGGACATCTGTGGGTGGAAAGAAAATCACTGAAAAAAAATATATAAACACGTGTTGCGCCCGAAACGTCGTGATTGAATTTATTTTCTACCTACGTGACTTTACCGAAAGAACCGGAGTACGTAAGAAAATATAAAGCCTCTTCCGCAAATTAAAATTGCGCAAGTTCACGAATTCCCAAGCTCAACAGCAAGAGGCAGTCCCAGACACACAAACAACACTGCACAGCGGACAGCCCATCGATGAGAATCGGCAGCGTGACAAATAGTCGACAGGCTCGGATCGACGGCGAGAGGAATCGATCCGCCACATGTCGCTTCGCGCTGGGCTCCTGCCGCTCCGTCTCCTCCATCCCCGCTCCGTCTCGCTCCGTCTCCTCCTCTTCCATCCCCGCTCCGTCTCCTCCGTCCGCTCCGTCTCGCTCCGTCTCCTCCTCCATCCCCGCTCCGTCTCCTCCGTCCGCTCCGTCTCCTCAGCGCCGCCGTCTCCTCTCGCTCCCTCGACCCATTCGCGTTGCGGCGTCGTCAGCCTGGGCAGGCAAGGAGGTCACCCCCACCCCCCACACCCCCCACACCCCCCACCCCTCCACACCCCCCACACCCCCCACCCCTCCACCCCCCAAACCCACCTACCCCCACACCACCCCCCACCCACCCCCCACCCCTCCACCGCCCCCCACCCCTCCACCGCCCCCCCACGTCCCACCCCACACCCCCCACGTCCCACCCCCCCCCCCACACCCCCCACACACCCCCACCCACACCCACACACCCAACCCCACCCACACCCCCACCCCCCACCCCACCCCCCCCCACCCCCCCACACACCCCCCCACCATCCCCCCACACCCCCCACCCACCCCCCACCAGTACCCCCCTCACCCATTGCCCAGCGGCAGTTTGGTCCCAAGACTTAGATCCCCCCTCCCCCCCGCGTAGCCTCTAACAGACCGTAGGGGCGAGTGGCTGGTAGCGAACAGCAGCCGTGAAGGGCAACCACACCACGCCCGGCCGCCTTTGTCTCCCTCCCAACCCCCCCCCCCCCCCCCAATGGCGATGTTTAAACCACACCACCGCGCTGGGTTGAACTCATCCTGAGGGCCGAGTCGGCCTAGGGAGAGGAAGGGACTCAGAGCACCGGTTCTGATAAGCGTCACCGGGTGGATGGTGTTGCGTAGCGCTAACCGCTGCACCACCGCTCCTCCCCATTAGGGCCCATCCATTGAGTGTGTACTCAAAAATCTGTCAAAACTTGACCCCTCCCCCACCCCCTCCGTGCACGCACGCCGACTTTTTACAGCACCCCCATCCTCCCCGAATCCTATAGAACGGCCCATATTTAATCCTCGCAGAAGCGATCAAGGATGAATAATTATTAACGTGTTTAAGCAAGCAGACAGTCCATCGCCGGACTAACTCATTCGAAGGCCAATGTAGACAACTTATTATCGAGGCTTCACCACTCCCTCCCTCCCGTTCCCTATGCGTAGCACATTGTCAGTAGACCCCCCCCCCAAATGTGTTAACCCAAAACTCAATGGATGGCCCCCTACCACCACCACCACTATCATGACGCTGGGATCTGTAGCGTACAGGGTGGTTCAGATGTCTTGTGACCACTCCCTCCCTCGATTTCATTCTCAAAAAAGTTAACGCTTTTTGTTGTTGTTAAATTAAGGTTTATTTACAACGTAAATACATATGCAAAGGAGGGGAATAGAACAATGTTAGGTGTCAATTGAGATTTCTTTGGCTGCTGTTATAAATGTCCACGTGATAAGCGACTCTGTTGAGTTTGTTGTGATAAGGGCCGTCCATAAATGACGTCACGGGATTTCGGACGATTTTTGACCCCCCCCCCCCCCTCTTGTCACACGGCGTCACAAAAAGTCAGACCCCCCCCCCTCAAATATGACGTCACAAAGCTTTGCCCCCCCCCCCCAAAATAAAACATGCTTCAAATCCCTTTAAACTATTGTCATTGTAGTGTGTATTTAATGTGGCGCTGCACTCTGATGTTGTAGGAGAAAACATTTATTTAAAAGTCTATTTAATTAAGTGGAACGTGTTGTCTATAGTTATTTAAAGTTGCGCATTGTGATGTGACGTCACATTCCTCAAACCCCGCCCCCCTCCCTCGTCACACATCGTCACAAGTTTCTGACCCCCCCCTAGGTGCGTGACGTCATTTATGGACGGCCCCTAAGCCACTCTGTTGAGATATCATTTGTGGATGGCCCAGGTCGCTTCTGCAAAAAAAAAATAAGTTCATACCATCGGTGGGCTTTTGCCTGGTAGGATGGAGATGGTTTAGTTTAATTTGTACAGTAACACCTTGCATTGCGAGGAGCATAATTCGTTCCAGAGACGCGTTTGTAATCCAAAGCACTCGTATATCAAAGCACTCGTATATCAAAGCACTCGTATATCAGTTGTGATCACGTGACGCTCGGCAGTACAAAGCGTAGACACGTACTACTACTCGTATTGCAAGACCCTCGCTCGGTGTATCAAATTAATATTTATTAAAACATTTTCTCGTCTTGCAAAACACTCGCAGATCAAGTTACTCGCAATCCAAGGTTTTGCTGTGGTTTGTTCGGGTGATTTGTTGACCTTCCTTGTAACATTGCACTAACTGTCGTGTTTGTCCACAATAGAGGGGTTTTTTTTGGATGAGATCACGTAAATATATAAATGTGTCGTTAAACCCACCACCACCCGACACGGCCAATTTAGTAAGGGGTTTGTCACGTAAACACAACGTGGCCAGTTGGTTACGAGTACAGCACCACACCGGTTGTGTTGGAGAGTAAAGTCACAACATTTCTAAGCGTGGTCACCACATCTACGCCTCTATGTAAGGAACGAAACAGGAGACTTCCCCACAAATCTGGCTGTCGCCTGATGAAGCCGGTTGTAATTACTGGCGAAACGTCGTGCTCGGTTTGTAAATGTTTGTGGCTTGGCTCTCCAACACACCGGTGTGCCGTACTAGTATACTACACTATACACTACACTACTATACACTACTACACTACACTACTATACACAATACAATACACTACTACACTATACACTACACTACTACACACAATATACTACACTACTACACTATACACTACACTACTATACACAATATACTACACTACTACACACTATACACTACACTACTATACACAATATACTACACTACTACACACTACACTATACACTACACTACTACACAATACACTACTATACACTACACTACTATACACTACTACACTACACTGCTATAAACAATACACTACACTACTACACTACACTATACACTACACTACTATACACAATACACTACTATACACTACACTACTATACACTACACTACTATACACAATGCACTACACTACTACACTATACACTACACTACTATACACAATACACTACACTACTACACTATACACTACTATACACAATACACTACACTATACACTACACTCCACCGGTGTGCTGTACTAGTGACGAATTGGCCACATTCTGTTTACATGACAACCCTTACCAGTTGGCTGTGTCGGGTGGTGGCGGGTTTAACGACACATTTATATAATTTACGCGATCCAACCCAAAACAACCTGTATTATGGATCATATTGGTCGCGAAAGCCAACGTGTTAAACTATCGTGTTTGCGTCGCGTTTGTTGTTGTAACGTTCTGACTCCGCGCCACTACAGGACATCTGTGAACAAAAAGAGCTTCATAGCTCATCGGATTCCTGCTCCAGCATAAATAAATATTCTGATTCTGTTTAACACGTAGCAGCAGGCTTTCGCGACCAATATTATTCACAATAAAGGATTTTGGGTCAGATCCCGTGAAGTGTAAATGTGTCGTAACGCTCCACTGTCCAACACAGCCAGTAACCTAACCCCATGTGTATGTTGAACTTCTTTCGCACCATACGTGGCCAACCCTCATCCAACCCTCACCTAAACCTAACCTAACTTTACCTATGTCCTGACCCTCTCCTAACTAACCTTAACTCACTTGACTTTTTTTGTTTTACCAGCGACCTGGCCACAAATGTTAGCGCAACGAAGTGGCTTATCATGTGGACATGACAGCAGTGGCCGAATACTTTCTGAGCGCGCGACGTTGATTCTAAACGTGGAGGGGAAACACCCGGAGAATCCCGGAGGAAAAGAGACACCCGCAGACTCCAGATACACATCTGAGTCGGGGTCGAACCCACAACCTCCTGCGGACCGGGCGAGGGAGGTAACATCTCGCCCCCGCCGCGTGCCCCCTCCCCCGCCCCGGTTGGCCCCCCGGCAGAGCGATGGGTCCGTCGCACGTGAAGGACGCGGGCGGCGTCCCGGAGATTCTCCTGCGTTGGAACGTGGCGGCCGACGAGGTGGACGCCCTCACCGAGGAGGTGATCGCTGCCGCCAAGGCGGTGCACGACGCCGTGGCGGCCGTGCCGCTCGCCGACGTCACCGTCGCCAGCGTCCTCAAGCCCCTCGCTGACTCGGCCAACGCCTACGCCGGTGAGAGCAGGCGGCGGCGGTGAGAGTGGCGAGAGCGGCGGCGGTGAGAGTGGCGAGAGCGGTGAGGGTGAGGGCGGTGACGGTGAGGGCGGTGGTGGTGGTGGTGGCGGTGAGAGTGGTAGTGGTGAGTGTGGTGGTGGTGATGATGAGAGTGGTGGTGGTGAGAGTGGTGGTGGTGGTGGTGAGTGGTGGTGGTGGTGAGTGGTGGTGGTGGTGAGTGTGGTGGTGGTGGTGAGAGTGGTGGTGGTGAGAGTGGTGGTGGTGAGTGTGGTGGTGGTGAGTGTGGTGGTGGCGGCAGTGAGAGTGGTGGTGGTGGTGAGAGTGGTGGTGGTGAGAGTGGTGGTGAGAGTGGTGGTGGTGGTGGTGAGTGTGGTGGTTGTGAGAGTGGTGGTGGTGGTGAGAGTGGTGGTGGTGAGTGTGGTGTTGGTGAGAGTGGTGGCGGTGGTGGTGGTGGTGAGTGTGGTGGCAGTGGTGGTGGTGAGTGTGGCGGTGGTGGCAGTGGCGGTGTTGGTGAGAGTGGCGGCTGCGGTGGCAGCGGCCGTCACGGTGACAGTGGTGGCTGCGGTGGCGGTGAGATTGAGAACGTTCATCGCTGCGGAAGTATTCATAATAACCCTCTCTGCTCTCCCCTCTCTCTCAATCCCCCCCGCCCCCCGCGCGCCGCAGTCGGGCGCAACCAGCTGGACTTCCTGCAGCACGTGTCACCGTCGCGTGCCGTGCGCGAGGCCAGCACCCGCGCCGACAAGCGCCTCTCGCTCTTCGACGTGGAGGCGGCGATGCGCGAGGACGTGCACCGGCGCCTCGCCGCGCTGCAGGAGCGCCTCGTCGCCCGTCTCGCCGCCGGCGACGCCGACGACGCCGACGGTGACGACGGCGTCGGCGTCGTCACCCCCGAGGGGCGGCGGCTGCTGGACCGCCTCGTCAAGACGGGACTCCGCAACGGCCTGCACCTGCCGGCCGACAAGCAGGCCGTGAGCCCACGCTGGGAGAGGGGTGGTGGTGGTGGTGGTGGTTGGTGGTGGTTGGTGGTGGCGATGAAACGAAGGTGGTGGTGGTTGGTGGTTGGTGGTGGCGATGAAACGAAGGTGGTGGAAGGTTGTGGTGGTGGTTGTGGCGACGGTGGTGGTTGTGGTGATTAGATGACAACGGTGGTGATGGTGTTGCCGGTAGTGGTGATGATGGTGGTTGGTGGTGGTGGTGGTGGTAATGAGCTGAAGGTGGTGATGGTGATTATGGAAAGTTTTGCGGTGATCGTGGCGGTGATGGTGGTGACGGAGGCGATGGTTTTCATGGTGGTGCCGGTGGTGATAGCGATGAGAAAGAGGTTTGCGGTGATGACGGTGGTGGCATTGGTGGTCTTCATGGTAGCGGTGGTGGTAGCGTTTGTGGTGGCAGATGGGGTGGGGGGTCTCAATGGTAGCAGCAGCAGCAGCAGTGGAGGTAGTGGTGGCAGTTGTGGTGGTGACCTCGTGTGGAGGGGCAGGGGAGGGGCGGGATGGTACGCGCCCCGCAATCTTCCCGCGTCGCTCAACGGCGCCAATTGCCCGCACGCACAATGACGGCGCGCTAATCGAAGGTCGCGCGTAACGCTTCCAAGGCCGCGGCCGTCGGGAACCTCCGACAGCCCCGTCGTCTACGGCGGGGGTGAGCGGCGAGATGTTGACTACCTCGCCAGGTACGCAGGAGGTCGCGGGTTCTGATTCTGACCCTGACGACGCCTGCTGCTGCTGCTGCTGTATATTCGGAGTTTGCGGTGTCTCGCTCGCTCTCTCTCCCCGTGGTCGCGTGGATTTTTCTCCGGGTCCTCCGGTTTTTTCCCCTCCTCATTTGGAATCGGCATCCACGCGTTTAGAGTACTTGCCTGCTATAAATGTCCACGTGATGATAAGCCACTTCGTTGAGCTATAATTTGTGATTCTCAGGTTGCTTTTGAAAAAGAGCTACGTAGCTCAGTGGGTATCTTACCTGGTAAAATATATATAGTGGTAAAATATAGATATATTCTTACGAACGACTTGGGTTCCAGAGGTCTGTTCGTAAGGCTTCTTAAGTTCAACTTTACTCCTGTCGATTCCAAACATGTTGTACGGCATGTTCACTTAACACGGGGGATGGCTTTAAACGTTGTATAATCTCATGCAGATGTAGATGCCACTGGTTCTTCATGTTCTGCAGATGTAGATGCCACTGGTTCTTCACGTTCTGCAGATGTAGATGCCACTGGTTCTTCACGTTATACATATGTAGATGCCAATGGTTCTTCACGTTCTGCAGCTGTAGATGCCACTGGTTCTTCACGTTCTGCAGATGTAGATGCCACTGGTTCATCACGTTCTGCAGATGTAGATACCACAGGTTCTTCACGTTCTGCAGATGTAGATGCCACTGGTTCTTCATGTTCTGTAGATTAAGATGCCACTGGTTCTTCACGTTCTGCAGATGTAGATGTCACTGGTTATTCACGTTTTGCAGATGTAGATGCCGCTGGTTCTTCACATTCTGCAGATGTAGATGCCACTGGTTTTTCACGTTCTGTAGATGCCACTGGTTCTTCACGTTCTGCAGATGTAGATGCCACTGGTTCTTCACGTTCTGCAGATGTAGATACCACTGGTTCTTCACGTTCTGTAGATGTAGAAGCCACTGGTTCTTCACGTTCTGTAGCTGTAGATGCCACTGGTTCTTTATGTTCTGCAGATGTAGATACCACTGGTTCTTCACGTTCTGCAGATGTAGATGCCACTGGTTCTTCACGTTATACAGATGTAGATGCCAATGGTTCTTCATGTTCTGCAGATGTAGATGCCACTGGTTCTTCACGTTCTGCAGATGTAGATGCCACTGGTTCTTCACGTTCTGCAGATGTAGATACCACAGGTTCTTCACGTTCTGCAGATGTAGATGCCACTGGTTCTTCATGTTCTGCAGATGTAGATGCCACTGGTTCTTCACGTTCTGCAGATGTAGATGCCACTGGTTCCTCACGTTCTGCAGATGTAGATACCACAGGTTCTTCACGTTCTGCAGATGTAGATGCCACTGGTTCTTCATGTTCTGCAGATGTAGATGCCACTGGTTCTTCACGTTTTGCAGATGTAGATGCCACTGGTTCTTCACATTCTGCAGATGTAGATGCCACTGGTTCTTCACGTTCTGCAGTTGTAGATGCCACTGGTTCTTCACGTTCTGCAGTTGTAGATGCCACTGGTTCTTCACGTTCTGCAGATGTAGATGCCACAGGTTCTTCACATTCTGCAGATGTAGATGCCACTGGTTCTTCACGTTCTGCAGATGTAGATGCCACTGGTTCTTTAGGTTCTGCAGATGTAGCTGCCACTGGTTCTTCACGTTCTTTAGATGTAGATGCCACTGGTTCTTCACGTTCTGCAGATGGAGATGCCACTGCTTCTTCACGTTCTGCAGATGAAGATGCCACTGGTTATGCACGTTCTGCAGATGTAGATGCAACTGGTTATTCACGTTCTGCAGATGTAGATGCCACTGGTTCCTCACGTTCTGCAGATGTAGATACCACAGGTTCTTCACGTTCTGCAGATGTAGATGCCACTGGTTCTTCATGTTCTGCAGATGTAGATGCCACTGGTTCTTCACGTTTTGCAGATGTAGATGCCACTGGTTCTTCACATTCTGCAGATGTAGATGCCACTGGTTCTTCACGTTCTGCAGTTGTAGATGCCACTGGTTCTTCACGTTCTGCAGATGTAAATGCCACAGGTTCTTCACATTCTGCAGATGTAGATGCCACTGGTTCTTCACGTTCTGCAGATGGAGATGCCACTGCTTCTTCACGTTCTGCAGATGAAGATGCCACTGGTTATGCACGTTCTGCAGATGTAGATGCAACTGGTTATTCACGTTCTGCAGATGTAGATGCCACTGGTTCTTCACGAAGAATCAGTGGTTCACGTTCTGCAGATGTAGATGCCACTGGGTCTTCACGTTCTGTAGATGAAGGTGCCACTGGTTCTTCACGTTCTGCAGATATAGATGCCACTGGTTCTTCACGTTCTGCAGATGTAGATGCCACTGGTTCTTCACGTTCTGCAGATATAGATGCCACTGGTTCTTCACGTTCTGTAGATGTAGATGCCACTGGTTCTTCACGTTCTGTAGATGTAGATGCCACTGGTTCTTCACGTTCTGTAGATGTAGATGCCACTGGTTCTTCCATATATTGCGTGGCGGTTGAACTCACGACTCTGGGCCCGAACGGGCAACTGGACATACGGACCAGCTTTGTTCGTATCTCTGAAAGTTTGTAAGTGGAACGTTCGTAAGTAGAGGAGTCCCCCCCCGTATAGTTTAGTAGTTTTAATCGAGTGTCTCGCCGTGCCATCCGTCAGGAGATCAAGGTGATCAAGGAGAAAATTTCCAGTCTGTGCATCGACTTCCACACCAACCTCACCGAAGACAACTCCTTCCTGGAGTTCACCGCCGAAGAGCTGAGTACGCTTGGGGAAAGTGCGACGGGGGGGTGGAGGGCGAGTAGGTGAGTGGGTAGGTGAGTGGGTAGGTGAGTGGCGGGTGAGTGCGGGGGTGAGTGGGTCGGTGAGTAGTTGAGTGGGCAGGTTAGTGGGTAGGTGAGTGAGCGGGTAGGTGAACGGGTAGGTGAGCGGGTAGGTGAGGCAGTCGGTGAGTAGGTGAGTGGATAGGTGGGTGAGTAGGTAGGTGGGTGATTGAGTGAATGGGAAGGTGAGTGAGTGGGTAGGTGTGTGAGTGACTAGGTGAGTGAGTGGCTAGGTGAGTGAGTGGCTAGGTGTGTGAGTGGCTAGGTGAGTGAGTGGCTAGGTGTGTGAGTAGGTGAGTGAGTGAGTGGCTAGGTGAGTGGCTATGTGAGTGAGTGGCTAGGTGAGTGAGTAGGTGAGTGAGTGGGTGAGTGGGTAGGTGAGTGAGTGGCTAGGTGAGTGAGTGGATAGGTGAGTGAGTGGATAGGTGAGTGAGTGGCTAGGTGAGTGAGTAGATGGGTGAGTGAGTAGATGGGTGAGTGAGTGAGTGGCTATGTGAGTGAGTGGCTATGTGAGTGAGTGGCTAGGTGAGTGATTAGGTGAGTGAGTGAGTGGGTAAGTGAGTGAGTGGGTAGGTGAGTGAGTGGCTGGGTGTGTGAGTGGCTAGGTGAGTGAGTGGCTAGGTGAGTGAGTGGCTAGGTGAGTGAGTGGCTAGGTGAGTGAGTTGGTAGGTGTGTGAGTGGCTAGGTGAGTGAGTGGCTAGGTGACTGGCTAGGTGAGTGAGTGGCTAGGTGAGTGAGTGTCTAGGTGAGAGAGTGGCTAGGTGAGTGAGTTGGTGGGTGAGTGAGTGGCTAGGTGTGTGAGTGGCTAGGTGAGTGAGCGGCTAGGTGAGTGAGTGGCTAGGTGAGTGAGTAGGTGAGTGAGTGAGTAGGTGTGTGAGTGGCTAGGTGAGTGAGTGGCTAGGTGAGTGAGTGGCTAGGTGAGTGAGTGGCTAGGTGAGTGAGTGGCTAGGTGAGTGACTGGCTAGGTGAGTGAGTGGCTAGGTGAGTGAGTGGCTAGGTGAGTGAGTTGGTGGGTGAGTGAGTGGCTAGGTGAGTGAGTGGCTAGGTGAGTGAGTTCGTGGGTGAGTGAGTGGCTAGGTGTGTGAGTGGCTAGGTGAGTGAGTGGCTAGGTGAGTGAGTGGCTAGGTGAGTGAGTGGCTAGGAGAGTTAGTGGCTAGGTGAGTTAGTGGCTAGGTGAGTGAGTGGCTAGGCGAGTGAGTGGCTAGGTGTGTGAGTGGCTAGGTGAGTGAGTGTCTAGGTGTGTGAGTGGCTAGGTGAGTGAGTAGGTGGGTGAGGGAGTAAGTGGCTAGGTGTGTGAGTGGCTAGGTGAGTGAGTGGCTAGATGTGTGAGTGGCTAGGTGAGTGAGTGGCTAGGTGTGTGAGTGGCTAGGTGAGTGAGTAGGTGGGTGGGTGAGTGAGTGGCTAGGTGAGGGAGTGGCTAGGTGAGTGAGTAGGTGGGTGAGGGAGTGAGTGGCTAGGTGTGTGAGTGGCTAGGTGAGTGAGTAGGTGGGTGAGGGAGTGAGTGGCTAAGTGAGTGAGTGGCTAGGTGAGTGAGTTGGTGGGTGAGTGGCTAGGTCTGTGAGTGGCTAGGTGAGTGAGTGGCTTAATGTGTGAGTGGCTAGGTGAGTGAGTGGCTAGGTGTGTGAGTGGCTAGGTGAGTGAGTAGGTGGGTGGGTGAGTGAGTGGCTAGGTGAGGGAGTGGCTAGGTGAGTGAGTAGGTGGGTGAGGGAGTGAGTGGCTAGGTGTGTGAGTGGCTAGGTGAGTGAGTTGGTGGGTGAGTGGCTAAGTGAGTGAGTGGCTAGGTGAGTGAGTTGGTGGGTGAGTGGACCGCTGGGACGGAACAGGTCAAAGGGCGACGTGGGAGTGGGGGGGGCGGGGGGGTGGCAGCGATCCCCCGGGTGGGTGACCGGGCGGTGGGGTCTCTGTCGCCCGCAGAGGGGATGCCCGGGGACTTTGTGTCGTCGCTGGAGAAGGCGGAGGGGAACGACCGCCTGAAGGTTACGCTCAAGTACCCGCACTACTTCCCGCTGATGAAGAAGTGCAGCGTGGAGGAGACGCGCGCCCGCATGGAGCGCGCCTTCACCTCGCGCTGCATCGAGGTGACGGGGTGGGATGCCTCACTCTGTGTGTGTGCATGTACGGGGGCGGGTGGCCAGCACCACGCCAAGTGGGTTGTGGGGTAGTGCAATGGGGGAGCGGTGGTGGTAGTGTAGTGGGGAGTGGTGGTGGTAGTGTAGTGGGGGGAGCGGTGGTGGTAGTGTAGTGGGGAGTGGTGGTGGTAGTGTAGTGGGGAGTGGTGGTGGTAGTGTAGTGGGGGGAGCGGTGGTGGTAGTGTAGTGGGGAGCGGTGGTGGTAGTGTAGTGGGGAGCGGTGGTGGTAGTGTAGTAGGGAGCGGTGGTGGTAGTGTAGTGGGGGGAGCGGTGGTGGTAGTGTAGTGGGGGAGTGGTGGTGGTAGTGTAGTGGGGAGTGGTGGTGGTAGTGTAGTGGTGAGTGGTGGTGGTAGTGTAATAGTGAGCGGTGGTGGTAGTGTAGTGGGGGGAGCGGTGGTGGTAGTGTAGTGGGGAGTGGTGGTGGTAGTGCAGTGGGGAGCGGTGGTGGTAGTGTAGTGGGGAGCGGTGGTGGTAGTGTAGTGGGAGAGTGGTGGTGGTGGTGTAGTGGGGAGTGGTGGTGGTAGTGCAGTGGGGGAGTGGTGGTGGTAGTGTAGTGGGGAGCGGTGGTGGTAGTGTAGTGGGGAGCGGTGGTAGTAGTGTAGTGGGGAGTGGTGGTGGTAGTGTAGTGGGGAGAGGTGGTGGTAGTGTAGTGGGGAGAGGTGGTGGTAGTGTAGTGGGGAGCGGTGGTGGTAGTGTAGTGGGGGAGAGGTGGTGGTAGTGTAGTGGGGAGCGGTGGTAGTGTAGTGGGGAGCGGTGGTGGTAGTGTAGTGGGGAGTGGTGGTGGTAGTGTAGTGGGGAGTGGTGGTGGTAGTGTAGTAGGGGAGTGGTGGTGGTAGTGTAGTGGGGAGCGGTGGTGGTAGTGTAGTGGGGGAGCAGTGGTGGTAGTGTAGTGGGGAGCGGTGGTGGTAGTGTAGTGGGGAGCGGTGGTGGTAGTGTAGTGGGGAGTGGTGGTGGTAATGTAGTGGGGAGTGGTGGTGGTAGTGTAGTGGGGAGTGGTGGTGGTAGTGTAGTGGGGAGCGGTGGTGGTAGTGTAGTGGGGAGCGGTGGTGGTAGTGTAGTGGGGAGTGGTGGTGGTAGTGTAGTGGGGAGTGGTGGTGGTAGTGTAGTGGGGAGCGGTGGTGGTAGTGTAATGGGGAGCGGTGGTGGTAGTGTAGTGGGGAGTGGTGGTGGTAATGTAGTGGGGAGTGGTGGTGGTAGTGTAGTGGGGAGTGGTGGTGGTAGTGTAGTGGGGAGTGGTGGTGGTAGTGCAGTGGGGGAGTGGTGGTGGTAGTGTAGTGGGGGAGTGGTGGTGGTAGTGCAGTGGGGGAGTGGTGGTGGTAGTGTAGTGGGGGAGTGGTGGTGGTAGTGTAGTGGGGGAGTGGTGGTGGTAGTGTAGTGGGGGAGTGGTGGTGGTAGTGTAGTGGGGGAGTGGTGGTGGTAGTGTAGTGGGGAGTGGTGGTGGTAGTGTAGTGGGGGAGTGGTGGTGGTAGTGTAGTCGGGGAGTGGTGGTGGTAGTGCAGTGGGGGAGTGGTGGTGGTAAAAACATCGCCACTGGGGGAGTCAAAGGCGGCCGGGCGAGGTGTTGGCCACCCACCCCCTCGTGTGCCACATTGCCGCCCTTCCTTGGTTGCTCGCTAACAGCGCTTGCCCCAACAGTCTGATAAAGTCTCCACGGGGGATCTTCTGCGTTTGCGAGTCCGTCTTTGTGGGTGTTGGTGTGTGCGCGTGTTTGCGTGGCACGTGGGTCTGCGTCTCAATGGGAGACAAAGGCGGCCGGGCGGGGGTGCTGGTGACGGCCACCCCCCCACCGTGTGCCGCAGTGCCGGCCATCCTGGGTGCTGCCCGTGACTTGCGCTCGCCCCACCGGGGGGCACCTTTGTCTTTGCCCCAGGCGAACACGCGCATCCTGGAGGAGCTGCTGAGGCTGCGCTGGCGCAAGGCCCAGCTGCTGGCGTTTGCGTCGCACGCCGACTTCGCCGTCGAGCTGAACATGGCCAAGACGGCGGCGGCCGTCAATCGCTTCCTGGGTGCGTCGCGGCGACGACACGACGTCATGACGACGACACGATAACACGACGTCATGACGACGACACGATAACACGACGTCATGACGACGACACGATAACACGACGTCATGACGACGACACGACAGGACCACACGACGTCATGACGACGACACGATAACACGACGTCATGACGACGACACGACAGGACCACACGACGTCATGACGACACGATAACACGACGTCATGACGACGACACAATAATACGACGTCATGACGACGACACGACAGGAACACACGACGTCATGACGACAACACGATGCATGGCAACACGACACAACTCAGCAACACGACCCAATACGATGCAACATGGCGGCACGCAGCACGACACAAAACAACACGACACACAACAACACGACACACAACACAACAACATGACACACAACAACACAACAACACGACACACAACACACAACAACACGACACACAACAACACGACACACAACAACACGACACACAACACAACAACATGACACACAACAACATGACACACAACAACACAACAACACGACACACAACACACAACAACACGACACACAACAACACGACACACAACACGACACACAACAACACGACACACAACAACATGACACACAACAACACGACACACAACAACACGACACACAACAACACGACACAACACGACACACAACAACATGACACACAACACAACACACAACAACACGACACAAAACAACACGACACACAACAACACGACACACAACAACACGACACAACAACAACACATGACACACAACAACACGACACACAACAACACGACACACAGCAACACGACACACAACAACACGACACACAGCAACACGACACACAACAACACGACACACAACAACACGACACACAACAACACGACACACAACAACATGACACACAACATGACACACAACAACACGACACAACAACAACACGACACACAACAACACGACACACAACAACACAACAACACGACACACAACAACACAACAACATGACACACAACAACACGACACACAACAACATGACACACAACAACACGACACACAACAACACGACACACAACACAACAACACGACACACAACAACACGACACACAGCAACACGACACACAACAACACGACACACAACAACACGACACACAACAACACGACACAACAACAACACGACACACACCAACACGACACACAACAACACGACACACAACAACATGACACAACAACACGACACACAACAACACGACACACACAACACGACACACAACAACATGACACACAACAACATGACACACAACAACACGACACAAAACAACACGACACACAGCAACATGACACACAACAACACGACACACAACAACACGACACACAACAACACAACACAAAACAACACGACACACAACAACACGACACACAACAACACGACACACAACAACACGACACAACAACACAACACACAACAACACGACACACAACAACACAACAACACGACACAACAACAACACGACACACAACAACATGACACACAACAACATGACTCACAACAACACGACACACAACAACACAACACAACAACACGACACACAACAACACAACACACAACAACACGACACACAACAACACGACACACAACAACACAACAACACGACACACAACATGACACACAACAACACGACACACAACAACACGACACAACAACAACACGACACACAACAACACGTCACACAACAACAAGACACACAACAACACAACAACATGACACACAACAACACGACACACAACAACATGACACACGACACACAACAACACAACACACAACAACACGACACACAACAACACGACACAACAACACGACACACAACAACACGACTCACAACAACACGACACACAACAACACGACACACAACAACACGACACACAACAACACAACACAACAACACGACACACAACAACACAACACACAACAACACGACACACAACAACACGACACACAACAACACAACAACACGACACACAACATGACACACAACAACACGACACACAACAACACAACAACACGACACAACAACAACACGACACACAACAACACGTCACACAACAACAAGACACACAACAACACAACAACACGACACACAGCAACACGACACACAACAACACGACACACAACAACACGACACACAACAACATGACACACAACATGACACACAACAACACGACACAACAACAACACGACACACAACAACACGACACACAACAACACAACAACACGACACACAACAACACAACAACATGACACACAACAACACGACACACAACAACATGACACACAATAACACGACACACAACACAACAACACGACACACAACACAACAACACGACACACAACAACACGACACACATCAACACGACACACAACAACACGACACACAACAACACGACACACAACAACACGACACAACAACAACACGACACACACCAACACGACACACAACAACACGACACACAACAACATGACACAACAACACGACACACAACAACACGACACACACAACACGACACACAACAACATGACACACAACAACATGACACACAACAACACCACACAAAACAACACGACACACAGCAACATGACACACAACAACACGACACACAACAACACGACACACAACAACACAACACAAAACAACACGACACACAACAACACGACAACACAACAACACGACACACAACAACATGACACACAACAACACGACACAACAACACAACACACAACAACACAACACACAACAACACAACAACACGACACAACAACAACACGACACACAACAACACGACACACAACAACACGACACACAACAACACAACAACACGACACACAACATGACACACAACAACACGACGCACACAACACGACACAACAACAACACGACACACAACAACACGTCACACAACAACAAGACACACAACAACACAACAACATGACACACAACAACACGACACACAACAACATGACACACGACACACAACAACACAACACACAACAACACGACACACAACAACACGACACAACAACACGACACACAACAACACGACACACAACAACACGACACACAACAACACGACACACAACAACACAACACAACAAACACGACACACAACAACACAACACACAACAACACTACACACAACAACACGACACACAAAAACACAACAACACGACACACAACATGACACACAACAACACGACACACAACAACACAACAACACGACACAAACAACAACACGACACACAACAACACGTCACACAACAACAAGACACACAACACACAACAACATGACACACAACAACACTACACACAACAACATGACACACGACACACACAACACAACACACAACAACACGACACACAACAACAAGACACAACAACACGACACACAACAACACGACACACAACAACACGACACACAACACACAACAACACAACACAACACCAACACACGACACACAACAACACGACACACAACAACACACACACAACAACACGACACAACAACGACACACAACAACACGACACCACAACAACACGACACACAACAACACGACACAACAACACAACACACAACAACCGACACACAACAACACAACAACACGACACAACAACAACACGACACACAACAACATGACACACAACAACATGACTCACAACAACACGACACACAACAACACAACACAACAACACGACACACAACAAACACAACACACAACAACACGACACACAACAAACACGACACACAACAACACAACAACACGACACACAACATGACACACAACAACACGACACACAACAACACGACACAACAACAACACGACACATCAACAACACGTCACACAACAACAAGACACACAACAACACAACAACATGACACACAACAACACGACACACAACAACATGACACACGACACACAACAACACAACACAAAACAACACGACACACAGACAACACGACACAACAACAGCACACACAACAACACGACTCACAACAACACGACACACAACAACACGACACACAACAACACGACACACAACAACACAACACAACAACACGACACACAACAACACAACACACAACAACACGACACACAACAACACGACACACAACAACACAACAACACGACACACAACATGACACACAACAACACGACACACAACAACACAACAACACGACACAACAACAACACGACACACAACAACACGTCACACAACAACAAGACACACAACAACACAACAACACGACACACAGCAACACGACACACAACAACACGACACACAACAACACGACACACAACAACATGACACACAACATGACACACAACAACACGACACAACAACAACACGACACACAACAACACGACACACAACAACACAACAACACGACACACAACAACACAACAACATGACACACAACAACACGACACACAACAACATGACACACAATAACACGACACACAACACAACAACACGACACACAACACAACAACACGACACACAACAACACGACACACAGCAACACGACACACAACAACACGACACACAACAACACGACACACAACAACACGACACAACAACAACACGACACACACCAACACGACACACAACAACACGACACACAACAACATGACACAACAACACGACACACAACAACACGACACACACAACACGACACACAACAACATGACACACAACAACATGACACACAACAACACGACACAAAACAACACGACACACAGCAACATGACACACAACAACACGACACACAACAACACGACACACAACAACACAACACAAAACAACACGACACACAACACACGACACACAACAACACGACACACAACAACATGACACACAACAACACGACACAACAACACAACACACAACAACACAACACACAACAACACAACAACACGACACAACAACAACACGACACACAACAACACGACACACAACAACACGACACACAACAACACAACAACACGACACACAACATGACACACAACAACACGACGCACAACAACACGACACAACAACAACACGACACACAACAACACGACACACAACAACACAACAACATGACACACAACAACACGACACACAACAACATGACACACGACACACAACAACACAACACACAACAACACGACACACAACAACACGACACAACAACACGACACACAACAACACGACACACAACAACACGACACACAACAACACGACACACAACAACACAACACAACAACACGACACACAACAACACAACACACAACAACACGACACACAACAACACGACACACAACAACACAACAACACGACACACAACATGACACACAACAACACGACACACAACAACACAACAACACGACACAACAACAACACGACACACAACAACACGTCACACAACAACAAGACACACAACAACACAACAACATGACACACAACAACACGACACACAACAACATGACACACGACACACAAACAACACAACACACAACAAAACAACACACAACAACACGACACAACAACACGACACACAACAACACGACACACAACAACACGACACACAACACACAACAACACAACACAACACACAACAACACGACACACAACAACACAACAACACGACACACAACAACACGACACAACAACACGACACACAACAACACGACACACAACAACACAACAACACGACACACAACAACACGACACACAACAACACGACACATAACAACACGACACACAACACGACACACAACACAACACACAACAACACGACACACAACAACATGACACACAACAACACAACAACACGACACACAACAACACGACACAATAACACAACAACACGACACACAACAACACGACACACAACAACAGGACACACAACAACACGACACACAACAACACGACACACAACAACATGACACACAACAACACGACACAACAACACGACACACAACAACACGACACACAACAACACAACAACACGACACACAACAACATGACACACAACAACACGACACACAACAACACGACACACAACAACACGACACACAACACGACACACAACACAACACCACAACAACACGACAACACAACAACATGACACACAACAACACAACAACACGACACCACACAACACGACACAATAACACAACAACACGACACACAACAACACGACACACAACAACAGGACACACAACACACGACACACAACAACACATGACACACAAACAACACGACACACAAACAACATGACACAACACACAACAACAACAACACGACACACAAACAAACACGACACACAACAACACGACCACATAACAACACGACACACAACACACACGACACACAACACACGACACACAACACGACACACAACAACATGACACACACAACACACCAACACGACACACAACATACACGACACAATAACACAACAACACGACACACAACAACACGACACACAACAACAGGACACACAACAACACGGACACCACAACAACAGACACACAACAACATGACACACAACAACACGACACAACACACGACACACAACAACACGACACACAACAACACAACAACACGACACACAACAACATGACACACAACAACACGACACCACAACAACACGACACACAACAACACGACACACAACACGACACACAACACAACACACAACAAACACGACACACAACAACATGACACACAACAACACAACAACACGACACACAACAACACGACACAATAACACAACAACACGACACACAACAACACGACACACAACAACAGGACACACAACAACACGACACACAACAACACGACACACAACAACATGACACACAACAACACGACACAACAACACGACACACAACAACACGACACACAACAACACGACACACAAACAACACGACACACAAACAACACAACACACAACAACACAACACACAACGACACGAACACACAACAACATGACACACAACAACACAACACACAACACATGACACACAACAACACGACACACAACAACACGACACACAACAACACAACACACAACAACACATGACACACAACAACACGACACACAACAACATGACACACAACAACACGACACACAACAACACGACACACAACAACACAACACACAACAACACAACACACAACAACACGACACACAACAACACAACACACAACAACATGACACACAACAACACACAACAACACGACACACAACAACACGACACACAACAACACAACACACACAACATGACACACAACAACACGACACACAACAACACGACACACAATAACACGACACACAACAACACGACACACAACAACACAACACACAACAACACGATACACAACAACACGACACAACAACACGACACACAACAACACGACACACAACAACACAACAACACGACACACAACAACACGACACACAACAACACGACACACAACAACACGACACACAACAACACATGACACATAACAACACATGGCACACAACAACACGACACACAACAACACGACACACAACAACACGACACACAACAACACGACACACAACAACACGACACACAACAACACGACACACAACAACACATGACACACAACAACACATGACACACAACAACACGACACACAACAACACGACACACAACAACACGACACACAACAACACGACACACAACAACACGACACACAACAACACGACACACAACAACATGACACACAACAACACGACACACAGCAACATGACACACAACAACACGACACACAACAACACGACACACAACAACACGACACACAACAACACGACACACAACAACACGACACACAACAACACGACACACAACAACATGACACACAACAACACGACAACACAACAACACGACACACAACAACACGTGACACAACAACAATCCCGACCCCTTGGCGATGTCTTTTGTATACATGAAGTTTGCGTGTCCCTCTCTCTCTCTCCCCATGGTCGCGTGTTTTTCTTTCTCTGGGTCCTCCGGCGAAGCATGTTGAGAAACATCTCCTTGCCATCGTGATGATGATGATGATGAGAGAGAGGGAGACGCGCAAACTCCAAATACCGTCAGGGGGTCGCGATCGAAACCCACGACCTCCTGCGTACCAGGTCGAGGCCGTTAACATCCCTTCTTCTTTACTGTCGTCGCCGCGGGGTGGTGGTGGTGGTGGTGGGTCGGAGCAGACGAGCTGGCGGAGCGTCTGGCGCCCCTGGGAGTGGCCGAGCGCGCCGAGATGCTGGCGCTGAAGCGTGAGGAGACGGGGGGAGGGGCCGACGTGGCCCTCCACGCGTGGGACCTGCGCTACTACGCGACGCGCGTCGAGGAGGAGAGGTTCACGCTCGACCACGACGCCCTGAGGCAGTACTTCCCCCTGCAGGTGGTCGCGGGTCGGCGGGGGCGTTGGGGTATCTTGACGATGTTGCGGGGTACCGGGGGGGTACGGGCGAGCTCCAAATACGAAAACGAGGCGGTCCACCCCCCTCCCCCCCGGGGTTTGACGCAGCGGCGGTTCGGGGGGTTTCATTCCGATCGTCACCCGAATTTTGCGCACGGCGGAAAGTGAAAGATTCGTACCCCCCCCCCACTCCCGCTCCCGCGATGGATGATGATGATCGCGAACTTCATTGCTAGGTGAGGAAAGAGGAGAGGAGGAGGAGGCGGCGGCGGTGGGCGTTAACGTCTTCGTCATCGGGGTCAACATCAGCAGTTCAGTTCGACACGAGGCAGCAGGGCTTGCGCGAGCGTTATCGTCCATAATGCAGGTTGTTGTTGTTGTTGTTGGGTTTAGATCGCGTAAACATACAAATGCGCCGTTAGAGCCGCCACAGCCAGCTGGTGAGGCTTGTCACGTTAACGGAACGCGGCCGGTTCGTCACGAGTACAGCAGCGCGCCGGTCGCGTGTTGCAGAGCAAATCCGCAACATTTACAATCCGAGTACGACGTTTCGCCGGTAATTGCAACCGGCATCATCAGGCGACAGCCAGATTTCACTGTCCGCCTGATGAAGCCACCACCACCACCACCACTCCCCACTAGGTGACAAACCTTAACTAATCGGCTGTGGCGGCGGGCGTTACGGATCAGGCAGTCCTGAAGGCGGTCCCGGCAGCGCCGCCTCCATGCCTCGCCGCTCCGCGGCAACGCTCAACCGCGACCTCACCGGCGGCCACGCTGCCTGCGCTCACGGAACTAACGCAAACATTCACACGCGTGTGTCCGTGTGTGTGTCCGTGTGTGTGTCCGTGTGTGTGTCCGCGTGTGTGTCCGTGTGTGTCCGTGTGTGTCCGTGTGTATGTCCGTGTGTGTGTCCGTGTGTGTCCGCGTGTGTCCGCGTGTGTGTCCGCGTGTGTGTCCGCGTGTGTCCGCGCGTGTGTCCGCGGGGAGCGATAGTGTAGTGGTTAGCGTGCTGCGCTATGAACCTGGTGACCCGGGTTCGATTCCCGCTCACGGCCAACACCAGTGACGATTATCTGAACCGGTCCCGGGCCTCCCCTAGGTCGACTCAGCCTCAAATGAGTACCTGGTGCGGTGTGTAATAAACATCGCCACTGGGGAGACAAAGGCGGTCGGGCGTGGTGCTGGCCACCCCACCCCCTCGTGTACCGTTCCGGCCTTCATAGGTGCTGCTCGCTAACAGCACTTGCCCCTACAGTCTGTTAAGGCTACACGGGGGATCTTTGTCTTTTTGCCCGCGTGTGCCCGCGTGTAGGTGGTGACGCAGGGGCTGCTGGGCATCTACGAGCGGCTGCTGGGCGTTCGCTACGAGCTGCGCGAGGAGGGGGGAGGGGCGGCGGGGGCGTGGCACGAGGAGGTGCGGCTCTACCGCGTCACCGACGCCGCCTCGCAGCGCCTGCTCGGGCACTTCTACCTCGACCTGCACCCACGGTGCGGTGGGGGGGGGGAGGGGTTACAGAGGGGGAGGGGCATGGGGTAGGGGGCATGGGGTAGGGGGCATGAGGTGGGGGGCATGAGGTGGGAGGGCGCGAGATGTCAACTACCTCGCCTGGCACGCAGGAGGTCGTGGGTTCGATCTCGACCCTGATGCCTGGCCTTTAACAGCACGCCACTGTGGCTAGGAGATGTCAACTACCACGCCTGGCATGCAGGAGGTCGTGGGTTCGATCTCGACCCCTGATGACGCCTGCTGCTGCTGCTGCTCTATATTTGGATTTTGCGGTGTCTCTCCCTCTCTCTCCCTGTGGTCGCGTGGATTTTTCTCCGGGTCCTGCGGTTTTTCCCCGCCACGTTTAGAATCGGCGTCACGAGTTTCTCTGGGTCCCGAAGTGCATCTCTGTGCATTTCGAGTACTTTGGCCGCTGCCACAAATGTCCACGTGACGACGATAAGCCACGTCCGACGAGACCCCCGTTTGCGATGGCCAGGTCGCTCCTGAAACAGAGCCACGTATCTCAGTGGGCTTGACCTGGTGAAACCAAAAAAAAGAGAGAGAGTTTAGTTTTTGGTTTATATACAGCGGGGCACGGGGATGCACGGGGACGAAACAACGATGCGCGGACGACACGTTGGGCCGGACGTTAAGTGGCCACGTGCGATCGCGCTGCGCGTGCCCGTGGCTGTGAGCGCACCCGCGGTTAGCGCCGCGGGTGCGCTACGAACCCGGCGACCCGAGTTCGATTCCCGCACACGGCCAACACCAACACCCAGGGACGATTGTCTGAACCGGTCCCGGGCCTCCCCCTCGGTCGACTCGGCCTCAAATGAGTACCCGGTGTGGCGGTGTGTGTAGTAAACATCGCCACTGGGGGAGACAAAGGCGGCCGGGCGTGGTGGAGCTGCCCACCCACCCCCCTCGTGTGCCGCCCTCCGTAGGTGCAACGTCTCGACTTGTACATCCGGCGCCCTCGGTGGAGGCGCCCGTTGCCAGCGCTTCGGCGAAACGGCGCAATGGGATGAGACGGTGGGGGGGGAGGGGGGTGGGGTGGGGAGGGTGGCGTGACGGATGCGTGACGGATGCGTGACGGATGCGTGACGGATGCGTGACGGATGCGTGACGGATGCGTGACGGATGCGTGACGGCGAAAGCGACTCGTGGGCAGTCGATGATGACCGGGCGCGACGAGCCGGTCGGGAAGTTGTGAAGAACAGGTATCGGTGGTGTTGACGACGGGCAGTGGAGGGGGAAGAGTTTGGGACGAGCGAGGGAACGTAGGGACGACACGCTGGTGCGCACGTCAAAACACACACACGTCAACACACACATCAACACACACGTCAACACGCACGTCAAAACACACACACGTCAACACACACACACATCAACACACACACGCACACACGCACACGTTAACACACACACACACGTCAACACACACACACGTCAACACACACACACGTCAACACACACGTCAACACACACACACGTCAACACACACACACGTCAACACGCACGTCAAAACACACACACGTCAACACACACACACATCAACACACACACACACGTCAACACGCACGTCAACACACACACACGTCAACACACACACACGTCAACACACACGTCAACACACACACGTCAACACACACACACGTCAACACACACGCACATCAACACACACACGCACGTCAACACACACGTCAACACACACGTCAACACACACACACGTCAACACACACGCACGTCAACACACACACACGTCAACACACACGTCAACACACACACACGTCAACACACACGCACGTCAACACACACGTCAACACACACACACGTCAACACACACACACGTCAACACACACACACGTCTACACACACACACGCGCGTCAACACACACACACGTCAACACACACACACGTCAACACACACGCACACACACACGTCAACACACACACACGTCAACACACACGTCAACACACACACGTCAACACACACACACGCACGTCAACACACACACGTCAACACACACACGTCAACACACACGCATGTCAACACACACGCACACACACACGTCAACACACACACACGTCAACACACACACACATCAACACACACGCACATCAACACACACACACACATCAACACACACACACGTCCACACACACGCACGTCAACACACACACGTCAACACACACACACGTCAACACACACACATCAACACACACACACGTCAACACACACACACGTCAACACACACGCACGTCAACACACACACACGTCAACACACACACACGTCAACACACACACACGTCAACACACACGCACACACGTTAACACACACACACGTCAACACACACGTCAACACACACACACGTCAACACACACACACGTCAACACACACGCACGTCAACACACACACACACGTCAACACACACACACGTCAACACACACACACTGGCGCACACACAGACACGCGCGAGTCCGATTGTCCGACGCTCGCGACACCGCCTCCCCCCCCCCCGCAGCGATGGCAAGTACGGCCACGCCGCGTGCTTCGGGCTGCAGCCGGGCTGCCTGCTGCCGAGCGGCGAGCGGCAGCCCGCCGTGGCGGCGATGGTCGCCAACTTCAGCCGCCCGTCGTCCGCTGACGTCCCCGCGCTGCTCACGCACAGCGAGGTGGAGACGTTCTTCCACGAGTTCGGCCACGTCATGCACTCGGTGTGCGCGCAGGTGAGCGGCACGGTCCGTCTGTCCGTCTGTCCGTCCGACCGTCCACCCACCGGCCTTCCCGTCCGTCCGTCCGTCTGTCCGACCAGCCATCTGTCTCGTCCGAGCGTACGAGCGAGCGAGCACCAACACGCGCGCGCTTGCTGAGAGTTCGCGCACCGGCGCGCGGACGGACATACGGACGGACGGACGTGCGCTCAGCCTGCCTGCGCACCGGTCTGTACCCGCGAGCGTCACAGACGCGAATCCGTCCCCCCCCCCCCTCCACCCCCCTCCACCCCCCTCCACCCTCCACCCTCCACCCCACCAACCCCGTGGGGCCGCAGGCGGACTACGCGGCCTTCAGCGGCACCCACGTGGAGCGCGACTTCGTGGAGGCGCCGTCGCAGATGCTGGAGAACTGGGCGTGGGAGGCGGCGCCGCTGGCGCTCGTGTCGGGGCACGTGCGCGACGGCGCGCCCGTGCCCCCGCAGCTCGCCGGCCTGCTGGCCGCGTCGCGCCTCGCCAACGTCGGTACGGGCGACGGCGGGGCTCGCGCGGGCCGTCGGCGCTGCGGTGGGGGGGGGGGGGCGGGGGGGGGGACCTCTTTGGGGGCCCTCGGCGACGCCGCGCCGCTCGCTGACGGCGGCCCTGCGCCACGGGGCCGCGGGGCGTTGCCTTTGTCTCCGCAGGAGTGTTCACGCTGAGGCAGGTGGTGCTGAGCAAGCTGGACCAGGTGATCCACAGCGGAGAGAGCGCCGACACGGCGCGCGAGTACTCGCGCCTCTGCTCCGACATCATGGGCATCCCTGCCACCCCAGGTGGGCGCACGCACGCGTACACACACGCACGCACGCGTACCCGCACGCATAGGCAGGCACGCGCACATACGTATACACGCATACGCGCGCACACGCGCGCACACACGGGCACGCACGCAGGCACGCCCGCAGGCACACATGCACGCACACAGGTGCACACACACACACACATATATACACACATGCACACACACGCACACACAACAAAGACAAAGATCCCCCGTATAGTCTTAACAGACTGTAGGGGCAAGTGCTGTTCACGAGCAGCACCTGTGAAGGCCGGTAACGGCACACGAGGGGGTGGGTGGCCAGCACCACGCCCGGTCGCCTTTGTCTCCCTAGTGGCGATGTTTACACACCGCACGAGGTACTTATTTGAGGCTGAGTCGACCTAGGGGAGGCCCAGGACCGGTTCAAATCATCGTCACTGGGTGTTGGCCATGAGCGGGAATTGAACTCGGGAAGCCGGGTTCGGAGCGCAGCGTAGCGCTAACTGCTGCGCCACCACTCCCCCCGTGTCCCCCCTCATCCCCCTCGTGTCCCCCCCCGTGTCCCCCCCCGTGTCCCCACAGGCACCAACATGTGCGCGTCGTTTGGTCACCTGGCGGGGGGCTACGACGCGCAGTACTACGGCTACCTGTGGAGCCAGGTGTTCTCTGACGACATGTTCCACTCACGCTTCCGCGAGCAGGGCATCATGGACCCAGCGGTGAGACTCTCACGCACGCACGTGTACACTACACACACACGCGTGCACTCCACTCCACTCGCATACACACGTACACGCCACTCACACACACCCACGTGTACACGCCACTCACACACACCCACGTGTACACGCCACTCACACACACACACGCGTGCACTCCACTCGCATACACGCACGTGTACACTCCACTCACACACACACACGTACACTCCACTCACACACACCCACGTGTACACGCCACTCACACACGTACGTACACGCCACTTGCACACGCGCACGTGTACACGCCACTCGCACACACACACGTGTACACGCCACTCACACACGCACGTTGCACTCCACTCACAGACATGCATGCACTCCACTCCTCACTCACACACGCGCACGTGCACTCCACTCACACGCGTGCACTCCACTCACACACTCACACACGTGTGCACTCCACTCACACACACCCGTGCACTCCACTCACACACACCCGTGCACTCCACTCACACACAATCACGTACACTCCACTCACACACAATCACGTACACTCCACTCACACACACTCACGTACACTCCACTCACGTACACTCCACTCACACACACTCACGTACACTCCACTCACAGACACACACACACTCACACACGCGTGCACTCCACTCACAGACACACACACACACGCGTGCACTCCACTCACAGACACACACACATACGCGTGCACTCCACTCACAGACACACACACACACGCGCGCACACGTGCAGCGGCGTAGCCACCACCACGACGGGTAGAGCACAACGGTAGTGCAACCAACCGTTCATCGGTGAATTGTTCAGGGCAGCTAAGCGACGGTCGGATGTGCGTCGTCGTTAACCGTGGTAATGGGCCGCCGTGGTGCGCCGCGGTGCGTTGCAGGTGGGCAACGACTACCGCAGGTTCATACTTACACCAGGCGGCTCGCTGGACGCCGACGTGATGCTCAAGAACTTCCTGGGTCGTGACCCCAACAACCTGGCCTTCCTCCGGAGCAAGGGGCTGGCTGCCGCCGCCGTCGCCGCCGCCGCCGCCGCCACCGCAGGGGACGCTGGGAAAACCACAGCGGCGGGGGTTGCTGGGAAACCGACGGCCTAGCGCGGCGGGGGAAGCCTGCCGTCGAAGCTCAACGAGAATGGAAATGAGCAGAAACTCCCGCTCCGTTTAGACGATTTGGCAACGGCTGTAAGTGTCCACGTGACGGTAAGCCACGTTCGTTGAGCTATCGTTTGTGATTGGCCAGGTCGCTTCGGGAAGAGGAAGCTGTGCATCTCGGTAGCGGGCCTTACCTGGTAAAATATAAATAGTTTGTGTAGTTTATCACCACCATTGCTCAGTCAGACGACGACATTGTCTTAACCATCAACCGGGGCGTTGAACGGAGAATTGGCAATTCAGAGTCAGGATACTTATTTATAGCTGGAGGAGGAATCCTAAGAGCTATAAAGCTATTTTTTTCACAGATGTCCAGCAAGGGGCATGGAGTGAGAAAGACGTTACAGCAACAAACACAGTACGGCAAAACGCGGTAGGAGTGCGGAGTATCGGAAAGGTGAACAAATCTCTTGAAAAAAAAAAGAAGATGCCCAAATCACGGCAGTTAAAGCCCACTGAGATATTATCGTTTCCTTTGTTGAGAGGCCACCTCTGGATATCACAAATGACAGCGCAACGGAAGTGGCCTAACCAATGTTAGGGCGTCTCCGCGCATGAATGCAAACATTCGTTTGAGACCCCAGCAGGCTGTCGTTCAAAGCCAGCTGACTCGGCCCGGGGACACCCCGCTCAGCTTGTGTACAGGCGGTCCCCGGCGGCTCTTATGCCCTGCTGGAACCCGCCATTGTTGCAAATGGGACCGCTGTTTCCACGCAGACAGCAGAAACATCACTTGCCGCGGTGCGTTCTTTTTCTCCCGCCTATTGGGCCGTGTCTTAACGCGAGGGCGTTTAAATCGGTTCAAAACCAACAAGAAGACACCTTTGAGAGTTAACACAAAAAAGCTCCCCGCGCCCAAGTCACGTCGGATAACCGGGAGCCGACCCTCCCGCTTCGAATGCGCCGGGAGGCGTGCACGGGAAAGACGTGTCGCGAGTCGAGTTTCGTGCAAAGTTGGTCAGTCGATACGCGCGGGCGTCGTCCGCGTAAACGCCGTGAACGAGGATCGTCGGTAAGCCGGTGACCGCCCGAATACTCTTGGGCAACGTCCCGAGAGGTTTGACAGTATGGTGGCCGGCGGCGGCGGCGATGTTCCCACGTGCATCAGGCAAAAACTAAAACAAAATGTAACTGCAGGGCGCTTCAAAAAAATGTTAACACTCACGAGAATTTGCAAACAAACACCACAAGAAATGCTGCCTCTGGGCTCTGGACACCCACCTGGAGAAGATGCCAGGCAACGCGTTGACAACGATGGCGAACAAGTGGAGACTCTTATTCTTAGCTCTTTCGGTAAAGTCACCAACGTTGAAGGGAAACAATAAAATAATAAAATATATATAAAACAATAAAAATTCTCACGACGTTTCGACCATAACACAAAACGGTCGTCATCAGGTGTGAAAAACCAACGGCAAGAAACATTTGAAAGAAGGTGTTTCTTGCCGTTGCTTTTCACACCTGATGATGGCCGTTTGTGTTATGGTCGAAACGTCGTGAGAATTTTAATTGTTATATATATTTTATTGTTTCCCTTCAACGTGACTTTACCGAAAGAGCTAAGAATATGAATTACTGCAGTCACGAAAGCTTCAAATCAAAATTTAAGTGGAGACTCTTTTGAAGCCATTAACATTGCATTTGTTATCACCGTTACAGTGTAGTAGTGTCCGTTCTTTTTTTTCCATTAAAAACGATAGTCCCATTTAAGTGTTAACATTATTTTTTGAAGCGCCCTGTATTTTTATTTTTTTCCAGGCGGAAGGTCCCACCGAGCTATATACAGAAAGTCGACCCCGGGTTTGCGGAAGACCCCGACTTACGGAAATCCGACCTTACGGGGGAATTGCTCCCGTAGAAATCGCGTCACAGGGAAATTGCTAAAGTCACTTACTTCATTTCCATTCTACGCGGCGGTGACTTTACCGAAAGAACCAAGAAGATGAATCCCTGCAGTCACGAGAGCTTTAATTCGAATTTTTTTTTTTACGTGCGCAAACGTTCGCGCTGGTTCCCGTAGCGCGGCGAGGTCGCGGACGAGTACCGCGGAGTGAGAGGCGTAAGGCGGCTGGGGCAGCCTCACCCCTCGCTGGAGCTTCACGAGGATTCAGGTCAACGGGACACACCTTCATTCTTGGGGGGGAAATTGTTCCGTTTCCGGCATAGCGGAACATCTCATTTGTTGTAGCTGTGCTTCAGGAGCGACCTGGACGTCACAAATGGCAGCTCAACGAAGTGGGCTCACCGTCACGCGGACAATTTGTGGCGGCCATGTGAGCCCGAAGCGCGCGATGTTGATTCCAAACGTGCAGGGAAAGACCGGAGGACCCGGAATCAAAATAAAATCCACGTGGCCACGGGGAGAGAGATAGAGAGAGACACCGCAAACTCCGAATATGCAACGGGCGTCGTACGGGTTGGGATCGAACCCACGACCTCCTGCATACCAGGCGAGGCAGTTAACATCTCGCGACCATGGCGCGCTACCGAGAACAGCGAGGGAAACCAGCATCAATCTTCATTCTTCCCGTGCCGTGCCCCAGGAGGTGGCAACCCCTAACGAGAATGCTGGCCGATGGGAAGTAAACAAAAAACAAAACACCCTCTCTCTCGCAGTGAATTGTGGGGGGGGGGGGGAACAGAGAATACTGGGTAGTAAAAGGTGTTCCCGAGGAGAGAGGCTCTTTTGCCGATAGGTGCTCAGAGAGATGAGGCCCATCGGGAGGGACATTTTCTGTGCTCCACCGTCGGACACGCTGTCCTTGTGTTGTTTTGATGGTTACATTGACGGCGATGCATTCATGAACGAATAAACGCTGAGCGGCGAGTTTTTGTCGAGGGAATTTTTACGGTCGAGGTGTGTCGAGGGAGAGCCCAATTGGAAGCTCCCCCCCCACCGCGCGTACGGCGTCTGTGAGAACAAGAGCTTCGAAGCTCTTCGGATTTACAGCAGTGGTGTGAATCTGTAGGATTTACAGTGGTGTGAATCTGTAGGATTTACAGCAGTGGTGTGAATCTGTAGGATTTACAGTGGTTGTGAATTTGTAGGATTTACAGCAGTGGTGTGAATCTGTAGGATTTACAGTGGTGTGAATCTGTAGGATTTACAGCAGTGGTGTGAATCTGTAGGATTTACAGTGGTTGTGAATTTGTAGGATTTACAGCAGTGGTGTAAATCTGTAGGATTTACAGCAGTGGTGTGAATCTAGGATTTACAGCAGTGGTGTGAATCTGTAGGATTTACAGTGGTTGTGAATTTGTAGGATTTACAGCAGTGGTGTGAATCTGTAGGATTTACAGTGGTTGTGAATTTGTAGGATTTACAGCAGTGGTGTGAATCTAGGATTTACAGCAGTGATGTGAATCTGTAGGATTTACAGTGGTTGTGAATCTGTAGGATTTACAGCAGTGGTGTCGAGTCATGTAGAGATCATTTCGGGTTGCATGAATGCAAAAGACAAAGATCCCCCTCATAGCCTTCACAAGCTGGTCGGGGCAAGTGCCGTTTGCGAGTCGTAGGACCTCCGAAGGCCGGTAGGCCGAGTCGATCTAGGGGAAGGAACGGGAGCGCGCGTTGCCCCGCTCCCGTTGAATGTCACACGCACGCAACGCCTGTGTGTGTGTTGTATTGCTCACATTGAATGTCACACTCACGCAACGCCTGTGTGTGTGGGTTGTATTGCTCACGTTGAATGTCACACTCACGCAACACGTGTGTGTGTGTTGTATTGCTCACATTGAATGTCACACGCACGCAACGCCTGTGTGTGTGGGTTGTATTGCTCACGTTGAATGTCACACTCACGCAACACGTGTGTGTGTGTTGTATTGCTCACATTGAATGTCACACTCACGCAACGCCTGTGTGTGTGGGTTGTATTGCTCACATTGAATGTCACACTCACGCAACGCCTGTGTGTGTGGGTTGTATTGCTCACGTTGAATGTCACACGCACGCAACGCCTGTGTGTGTGTGTTGTATTGCTCACGTTGAATGTCACACGCACGTTGTGCAACGTGTGTGTGTTGAATTGCTCACGTTGAATGTCACACGCACGTTGTGCAACGTGTGTGTTGTATTGCTCACATTGAATGTCACACGCACGCATAGTGTGTGTGTGTTGAACGTCTTTCGCGCCGTGCACGGAGCCGATCGCAGTGGGTTGCGAGTTAACCGGTCGTGGGGAATTGAGAGTTCGGAGGAGTTCTAGCAGCAGCGTAAATATATCAGCACTGTGTCGTGAAACCCGCCACCACCCGACACAGCCAATTCGTAAGGGGCCGTCCATAAATGACGTCACGCGATTTTGGATGATTTTTTTACCCCCCCCCCCGCTTCGTCACATGGCGTCACAAAAAGTCAGCCCCCCCCCCCCCCCCCCTCAATGACGTCACAAAGCTCTGCTCCCCCCCCCAAAAAAAATAAAACATGCTTCAAATCGCTTTAAACTATTGTCATTGTAGTGCGTATTTAATGTGGCGCTGCACTCTGATGTTGTAGGAGAAAATATTTATTAAAAAGTCTATTTAGTTAAGTAGAACGTATTGTTGGTTCTTTCGGTAAAGTCACGTAGAAGGGAAACAATAAAAAATATATATAAAACAATCTATTTAAAAAAAATATATCAAAAACAAGAATTTGTATTATTGTTTTATATATTTTTATTATATTATTTTATTGTTTCCCTTCTACGTGGTGACTTTACCGAAAGAACCAAGAATATGAATCCCCGCAGTCACGAAAGCTTTAAATCAAACTTTAAGTGGAACGTGTTGTCTATATTTATTTAAAGTTGCCCATTTTGATGTGACGTCACAGTTCTCAAACCCCGCCCCCCCTTCTCGTCACACATCGTCACAAATGTCTGACCCCACCCTCCCCCCCCTAGGTGCGTGACGTCATTTATGGACGGCCCCAAATGACGACAACAACAACCAGCATCATCAGGCGGGTAGCACAAAGCTGTCCACCTGATGATCTAAGAATCGATTCCGTTGGTAAAGGAACCGATCAAGGTAATAGGAATACAAGAGTCGAGAAGGGGATACTAAGAATCGATTCCGTTGGTAAAGGAACCGATCAAGGTAATAGGAATACAAGAGTCGAGAAGGGGATACTAAGAATCGATTCCGAGGTAACGAAACCAATCAATAGGAATTGAAGTGTCGAGTGGAGGTTCTAGGAATTTATTCCGAGTTTAGGGAATCAATGAAGGAAATAGGAATCGAAGAGTGGGGGAGCTGTTTCTACGAATCGATTCCAAGTGAAATACATAAATTAAGTGGAATCGATTTTGTGGTAAAGGAAGAGGAATCTAAGACCCGAGTTAGGGCGTTCAAAGAATCGATTCTTGGAGACGTTCCATTGAAGGGGGGAGGAATCGAAGAAGCATTTTTAACGGACCAAATGGAATCGATACATG